GTGCCGTCTACTGAGCCAGAACCGTCTGCTGAGCCAGAACTATCTGCTGAGCCAGAACCATCTGCTGAGCCAGAACCATCTGCAGAAGTAGAATCTTCTTTTGAAATAGAACCCTTTACCAAAACTGAATCAACATCCACTGTAGAACCGTCAGTAAAAGCTGAACCTTTAACGGAACCATCATTAAAATCTGAACATTCTACAGAACAAATACATAAAATTTCTGTGATACCTGAACATTTTACAGAAGTAAATACTTTAACAAAATTCGAATCATCTTCAGAATATTCTCTGGAGAAAAAACCAATAGTAATGACAACACAAGAAAATGTAAATCTTTCTTCAGAAGAGCCAAAAACTTCCATAGATATAGACACATCCTCAGAAAGTGTATTACATTCAATTGATGATGTAGAATCCACAACATTAATAATGGAACCATCTTCGTCCGTGGCATCTTCTGAATCGAAGGATATAATAAAATCTTCTATAGAAACTGACGTTGCAATGGCAACAGAAGTTCCACAAGAATATCCACAATTTTCAGATGAAATGGAGCATACAACAATACCAGAAATCATTGTTGAAACAACTCCAGAAAGTGAAACAACGCCAAAAATTCTTATCGAATCTACTATTAAATCAGAACCTTCGTACGATTCTGAATCTCGAAATTTCAATACTAATATAAATGAAAATACCAATGAAGCAAATAATGAAGAGCCATTACCAGTAATACCTTTGCAAACGAGCAATGAAGAACCTACGACAGAAATTCACAATGAACGAATAACAACGATGTTATCAGAACACAATTCAGAAGAAAAGGAACCATCAGTGATGACTGAAAGTATTACAACATCGCCGATAATGACGACCACCGTAAATAATAAAAAAGAGGATGAAGAAACTACACTTATAATGATACAATTTGAAGATGGAGTTACCGAGAAAGAAAATGAAGTAACCGAATTATCAATAAACAATGATGCAGGAATGTCTGATATCACACTTCCAACAATTCAACTTGAAGAAATGAATATTAAACTAGAACCAACAAAAACATTAAAATCAAAGAGTGAGACAACCATTTCTGTGATGGACACTACTTCGAGTGAAATCACTTCTGAGGCACCAAAATCAATATTAGAAACGAACACAGAATCAAATCAAGTTCTAATGAAGAATATTGATTCTTCCGGAATCGAAGTAGCATCTAATTTAACAGATCAATCAGAAGAATCATTTTTGAATAAGAATCATTCTATCGAATCATTAGATATACCAGAATCCAACGTGCAAGATATAAACGAGTCAAACGTTATTGAACACGCACCAAAATCAATATTTTCAAGTTTACCTAAAGAATTCAGTCAAAACGTAGAACCATTATTGGAATCAGTGAATAATCAAACTGATGAAGAACAAGTAATACCATCACCTAAAGAACAAAATAAGAAATATGAACAAGATACTCATGCAATCATTCCCCAATTGATTCCTGAACAGATAACACATTTTACTACGAGACCAGAAGAATCAACGATCAATCAAGAAAATATTTTACAAGCTAGCAATCAGCCTGTTGAAAGAAAAAACTTAACGATCGATACGATCTTAGATCGATCTACCGAACATCCTGAAGAGAATGCAGTTTCTATTGGCGAAACGATCGAGCATTCGACTAGTCATCCTTTACACCCTGCGATATTCCCTGAAAACGCAATGAATCATTATGTTGAAAAAATGGATCCTAATGAAGAAAGACATCTTGAGGATATGTCACCTTTCTTACCAGACGTTCAAAAGGAGAAGGAAACGTCCAAAAAAGCACCAAGATTGGATAAAGACGAACAAGATGTCCCTAATCCTTTCGAGACTCATGTTGAAGACGTTATTATAAGTAAACCTGAAAGAAAGGATAGCAAAACTGAACTGACGTATTCTACAAACAAAAACGAAAGTGAAGAAGTCTTGACTGATCTTGATAATGACAATATCAATATGAAAATAGATGGTAAGGATATTTCAATGATACCTAAAACAATTAACGAAACTAGGACTGAAATGGAGGATCCACTGCAACAAAATGAACTTTTGAAAAAATCCGAAAGTGAAAAATTGAAAGAGACTTTGAACAATACTCGAACACTTGTGACCAATGATTTGTCTGATGATACAACGACAAATAATACTTTTGATGGAAAAAGTATGAAAGATGAACAGGATGATGAGATACTTAGGGTAGTACCATTGGAAGAGTATAAAGACACGAAAAATATGGAATATGAATTGGATAAAGTAGAAAGTACCACAGAAGCTGCACAAATCACTACAATGATGTTTATTGAAGAAAATGGTAGATCTATGGACGATTTAATTGTTAATAATAATGTTGCTAGTAGTTCAGAGAAACCAGAAGAAAATGCGGAAGAGGATCAGTACAATGATATCAACGATGAAACGTTATCCAAGACTTTCGATCGTAATAAAAACATTAAAATCGTATCGACTGAAGTCACCGATAATGAATCGAAAAAATTAATTATTAATAATATCGATGAACAACAAGAAAAGACTAAATCAACTTTAGACTCTGAAGAATCTCAAAGTACGACGGAAAAAATGTTATCAACGGAAACGGAATTACCATTGACTATGCCTTCTATTTTTATGGAAAAACATGTTGAAGATGCTAAGATTACAACGCAGGTACCAGTGTTACCTATGGAAATACAACAGGAACTTTCTACGACAGAATTAACAGACAAAATGGAAGCAACTACGATTGCTGATGATAATTTGTTATCGGATAATCACACTGACAGGTCTAATATTGTTCATGATGATACAGATAAAGAATCTGTCACTATGATTCCATCTACTATTGCGCCAATGTATGCACTGGAGACTAAAACAACTGCACAAGTACCAATTTTACCAGAGGAATTGCAAACAACTGAACACGAATTCTCAATAACAACTTCTTCAATGAGGCCAGAAATGATTAAAGAAATTAATGATACGAGGCATGACATTAACAGGACAGCAACTACTATGATTTCAATAGAATATATTAATAACATTTCAGCAACTACAGCTAGTTCTACGATGGCAGTAGAAGTTGGTAATACAACAAACGTTATAACAAAAACAGACAACACAAATTTGACTGAATCAATGTCCACTGAACATGATAATATTCAACATACTATTCTAAATGAGCAACCGGATAAAATAGTGAATCAGATGACGATTCTTGAAAATACAACGAACTATCCAAAACCAGAAACAACTTTCACAGTAGCCAACGAAGATTATACAGCAATGGCAACTGAAATCAATACTGCTAAAGAACCAGATCCAGTTACTATGAATGATGATATAAGGCCAGTTACTGAAGAAATTCTAGACGATACGAGACCATACAATTTTAACTTCAGATCATTTTTCTCAACAACGACTATGAGAGATGTTATTCTCAACGAAGATTCGAGAGAATTATCTGAAGAAGAACTGAAAGTAATACCGTTAGAAAAAAGCCAAGAGATTAAGAAAAAATCTATTGATAAAAAAAATTCAGATAAATATAAATACAAAAAAGAGAAGGAACTTAATCTAGAGGATCAAAGAGTAGAAAATGTTACAACCGAGATCAATGATACAACAAGTTTCATTCCTACTGAAATTCCAAAGATTCTCGTCGAATCAAATGAAAATATTGCTACAGAAAATATATCTACCACAAGTACAGAGTCGACTATTCCAAAATTCATTTTATCTGATACAGAAGGTAATATTGTGCCAATACCAAAATTGAAAATTGTTGAAATCATATCTACATCAAATCAATCTGAGGAGGAAAAACCTCACGAAGAAAATACTACTATAGCTAGTTTAATAAGAAATGATACAGAAGTAGAAACAAATAACAAATATCCTAACTACATACCCGTGTCTGAAGAGATCATAGAATCTGACCCAGTAACAGAGCCTTTCATACTCATTCGAAATTACACTTTGCATCAAACGACTCCATTAATTCCAATCATGGGAGTTGAACAAGCTACAACTCAAGGTAACATTCCTATCGAACGTGACAATACTTTGAATAAATCAAACGTAACGATTATTCAAAATAATAGCCAAGAAACTAACAATTTAACAGTCAACGCATTGAACCTTTTAACGTTAAGTACCATGAGCTATTCAAAATGTAGTACAGGCCAGTTTCAATGTACCAATGGGACTTCCAGAGCTGGTGCTTATTGCGTCAGTTTATCCGAAAAATGTGACTCCCATAAGGATTGTTCTGATGGCTCTGATGAACTCAATTGTCAAGAAGAAGGATGTCCTGGAAACTTTCAGTGTGCCAATCGTCAGTGTCTTAAGAGACACCTTGTGTGTAATGGAATCGTAGATTGCGACGACGGTAGTGATGAATTGAATTGTCAAAATTGGAAGTGCATATTCGACGAATACCGCTGCACCAATGGTGAGTCCTAATTAATTACAATAATTACCGATTAAATTTCATCGTCAGAATAACATATCGCATGATCGTTTCATAACGAGACAAATGATATGGTGTCCTTTCTTATTGGGTTAATAGGTTAATTAAAGATCGTCATGATTAAACAAGTTTCGTTCTTATTTTCAGGACGATGTATACCACTGTTATGGCTATGCAATGGTAGACCGGATTGCGAAAATCATCAAGACGAGTTTAACTGTGCTGAAAGTTGCGGCAATGATGAATACTTATGTCCTACTGATAAACGATGTATTCCACAAACATGGCGATGTAATGGATCACCCGATTGCACTAATGGGGAAGACGAAAAACTCTGTGATTGTGCTTTGAATCAATTCAAATGTCACACTGGTGGATGTGTCTCCAAAGAAGAAGTTTGCGACGGTATCGAACATTGTCCTGATCGTTCCGATGAATGGGAATGTATATCTAGCAATTTGCTTGATCAAAGAAATCATACTGAAACTGATCTGAAAGAAAACGAAGGAAATTATTCGACGAATCAACTGAATCATCGAGATTCTCTTTTAAAAATAAGGTCAGTTTCTTAAATACTCAAATCTCTTTAAAAATAAAAGAATATTCTTGGTTTAAAGTATAATTTAACAGGCAATTTGATGGTAACTATCGACTAGTATGTTCGGATGGTTGGAGCAAAGAGTTCAGTGACTCATACTGTCGTTCTCTTGGCTATGCTTCATCCCAAACAACTGATTTTAAAGCATGGAATAAAAGCGACCAAATTGTAAGACTGAAAACTAATCCAAATCATCGCAATCCGCTAGTCAGTAATCTTCAGCGAGTAGAGTTTTGTGTCTCAGAAAAAGTTGTTGAAGTTACGTGCGAAGAATTTTCTTGCGATAAGCATCATGTTGATAGAACTACTGCAAAATCAGAAGGTGAAACTCCAATTGGTATTATGCAATGGCCTTCTGTAGTGATTTTGAAAGAAGAGGAACATGGTATAGCTTGCACAGCTAGCATATTAGGACCTATGCATGCTTTGACCAGTTATTCTTGTGTCTACAAGTAAGAAATTATAATCATTCTATGATATATATTTATTTAATCATTATTTAAAATTCATAATTGAAATTTAATTGCTCTTTTTTTTCATTTTTAGATACAAACAAAGCGACGGATGGAAATTGTTAACTGACGAAAAATTGCTAAGAAGTAATTCTATAAAAAGTATCATTCCACATCCACAAGTGAAATATAATCAATTCTTCTACGACAACGATATTGCTTTGATTGAACTCAAAGAACCTTTAATTTTTTCAAAAAATGTTTCTGCCATTTGCCTACCAACTCATCCTATTAAAGTAAGTATATATTCGAAATTCGTATTAATTGAAAAACATCTTGTGCTTGAAATACCTTTTAAAATGATGTTACGTGTAAAAGTTACTCAGCTATTTTGTTAATAAACCTTTTCTTTAGAACTTCAGATACAGATTTTTAGAAAGATGATCTTTTGCTCTTATTATCGACTATTGTAAGAGAGCACCACCTAGTAGAAAAATATTAGAAAACTAAATTTATTTCAAGTACAAAGAAAATGTTTAAATAATTATTTTTTAAAACCTTTAGCAAGTGAGAATTATATTGTTTATAAAATAAATTAATAAGTTACCTAACATCTCTGATGATATTTTATGTTTCAGTCAAATGATGTCTGTGTTAACGTAGGATGGAGGTTCCCAGTTAACGGAGAACTAGACTTACAACAATATGATGAATTCTTGCCAATGCCGATGTATGATTCTGACGAATGTAATACAACAAGCCATTACGCAGGATTTATAACAAAATATAATATATGCGTTGGTTTGTCTAATATGGATAAAGAGCTTTGTTATGTAAGTAATTTTAGAATTAAAAAACAAATTATAAAAAGTATAAAGAGAAAAAAGTTAAAAGATGATTAGAGAATAATTGTGTCAATATCTTACTTTTAGAATGATGAAGGAGCACCTCTAATTTGTGTCAATGAATCAGGAAATTGGAATATTCAAGGTTTACTCAGTCACCATAGCAAATGTTCAAGAGGACATCCAGCAATTTATTCTAGTTTGGAGCCTGCTTTAGATTGGTTACGACATTTAGTTCCAGCTTTGCAAACATAAATTTAAACAACTTGTAAGATATGGACACTTTGAAAGTATACGAGTAATTCAAAGTTCATCGTGATCTTGATCATACATCGATCAATGTTGAAAGAAAAAGAAAAAATTACTCTGATTTCAACGAGTATTTGCTTAGCAAACACTTACAAAAGTACTTACTCCTAAAATATTCACGGCATACAAATGTTTTTTGTTCTTTTTTTACGATTGAAATTTATTTGTTGTACTTCTTTTATAAATCATGTTCCTATTTATATTACAAAGTATGCTCCTAGTATTGAATGGCCATGAAATCATTTCTTTTACAATGAAAAGCGTGCACATGCAATATCTACACTAAAAATTTACATCGGTGATTATATAAATACATACTATATATATATAACATAAGCTAAAAACATGTAGATCACAAAATCATACTTTATTTAACATTAAGGAAAACAATATGTAAATACTGTATAAAGTAATTGTTTAATATGGTTAACGTGGTAATAGATTTTTTGCAAGTTAGGAAATTAGGTCTCTTTAAGTATTATACTCATACAAACACAAGCTGCAAGTTAGACTCGAAAAATATATAAAAGTTATATTATGTTTGGACCAAAGTAAATGCAATAAGTATGAATATGCATATAAAAGTATTGATTGTTAAATCTTTCTAGATTGTACAAAGAAACTTACAATTACTATAAATCGAAAAATAAAATAAACATTTAATGGAAGAGACCAACGGTTATAACATAAAATGATAGATTTATATTCGATCAATGATTAGTCTCAATAATTCTTGCGAAGCATTCCTGAAACGAATGACGCGGATAAGATTAAACAATAGATAGAGTAAATGTATATATGATTATTGTAATAAAATACATTGTTATTGATACACTAATAATGAAATATTAATTAATAATGTACAATTTCATTTATGTTTTATGATAAATATTATAATGAAAAAGTTTCATTTAAGTGTAGGCATGAATAAATTCGTAAGTATTTTTATATTTTAAGCCATTGATAATAAATAAAAATATATATATATGTATCAAATTAATTTTGATTATAAATATATTATATATATATATATATATTTGATTAATTTTGATTATATACATAACAAATTAATTCTAAATTTTATACCTTTACAACTGTTGGTGTAATGAGTACTCAAAAGAAAATAATTTTCTTGAAATTGCAGAATAAATTAATAATATACAGTCATTTATCTACTTTCTACTTTCTTTCAGTTCAGCACGTGTTATTTCTTGATCCAAGGTAATTAATGTTTTAGATATACTATCTATTACATCATTATAAACACTGAAGATGGCATGCATATCCTTAGCAAATGCTTCGGCTTCATCGTGTATCTTCAACTGTTTCAAAGATAATTCTTTAAGTTTAACAGATAATTCTGGAAGGTCTTTTAAAGAATCCGTTTCTAAAACTGGCATCAACTCTTGTATTTTACTTAAATACTTATAATTATCCATGATTTCTTGTTCCGGAAGTAATAATAAAAGCGACTTAATTTGTATGGGCTCATCTAATTCATCAGGAGATATATCTAAATATTTAATCAATTCTGGTAATCGTTTAATAGCTTCCGCTATATTTTCTCTGCCTGATAATGCCGAAGAGATCAACGTATTCGCATGTAAGAGATTATCGGTAATAGATGTTTCTGGAAATGAATCATCCAGCTGCAACACCTTCCCAAATCCATAAACTTGCTTTTCCAATTCGTCTAGTCTATCTTCCAATAACTTAATAGATGTCATGCTAAAAGTAAAACAATCAATTTGTACAATTTCCTTAAACAAATTCAACTTATTTTGATGAAAATGATCATATAAATATAAATATAAATATAAATATAAATATAAATATAAATATAATATATATTATATATATTTATATATGTATATATAGACAGATATAAAATATTGATTAGTGTAAATGTAAAAAAGTATTCAAGAAATTACTCACCTTGCATATGATTGAGGTTAACTTCTCTAGAAATAACTGCACCACTTATTAAAAAGACCTACGATATAATTAATATGAAATAATTAACTTAACAATACTACAAATAAACTATACTACGTACAAACACCAATACACACGAACGGATTTTTAAGATAAAATTAAAATCTTATACTAACACTTTCGATGAACAACGTTTGGAAAAGTTTGGTAATTTTTGTCAAGAAAAGAGCGGTAAATTTAAATCATTCGATTTATACTTTCGATTGTTTTTCCGTAAAAAAAGAGCAGTAGTAGTAAGAGAGTGTAATTTATGATAAAAATATAGTATAATTACCTAATATTAAAAAAAATTCTAGGTTGTTTTACAAATAACACACGAAACATATGTTAATTATAAAATATAATTTTCATTCAATATTTCGATAAGATCTCGATCTCGAAATAATTGCATATCTCTAATGTTTACCAAAACAAATTTCATTTATGTTTAAATGCACATAAAAAAAGATAATTTGATATCAAAGAAAATAATGTAAAATGCTTATATATGGGATATAATTACCTAATAATTAAACAATAGCACAATCGTTTAAACAATAAATATGAAAAGTTATGAACAACTTCAAATTTTTATACAGTCTTGTAGAATTTGACCGATGTGCCACTTAATGTTGAAAAATAGTCTTGCAATAATGCAAAATGCATAAGAAATTTCGATATAACCTAATAATCAACAAAACTTTTCCTTACTGCCCATATGCATTTGCGCATGCGTGCAGTGTAGAGTGAACATAGCTTATTACTTCTTACTGTCAGTCTAAATAAGGCAGTAGTCATGGATGCATTTAGGTTAGATTACTACTTGTAAAGATAACATGAATTCACTAATAATAACCTACAAAAGATACATTCCATCTTATATTACCCAATTGTTTAAATAAGCCACAAAATATTCCAACATTTCATTAATATCATTTTCATTTACTTTGCATGCTATTTATAAAAGTACGTCGTTATTTTTATATATAAAACAATTATTCTTGAAATAAGATATTAAATAATGAACACAAATTCGTATTCAATTGACAATAGACTAATTTTAAATCATTAATAAAGCTATCGTTTGTATTTCAAACCAGATCCTGATAAACGATATTTAATGAGGCCAGATCCTAAGAAAAGATCAGTAAAGGGAAGACTTATTTATGTATAAAACACATATACATATATATTTACTCGTTAATGTGCGTATGCTATTTCAAGATAAAATTATAAAAGCATCATTTTCAAGGGACTTACGTAATTATAGAACTACGACATTAGCTACGATCCTTCGTAATAGGATTTTTTTTACAATTAATTGATTATCGATGTAAATACCTTGCCTGTATAAAGATAAGGTAAAAAAGATAGAGTTTATAAAAACAAATAAAAAAATAAAAATAAAAAATAAATATCTTCTTTCATACTTCGATCTTAAATACATTAACTATGTGATATATACTTACTTATATACTTTACGTTAACGTCTTGATAATATTTCATTCAATTAATGATTAAATTAGTTAGTTATTTGTGCATACGATTGATTAATTAAATGGTTCACCTACATGATGAATTATTTAATAGATATTTCAATCATTAATTAACATATTTTTAAATAAATAATTATTTCGTAAGCACGCCTTGTTATTCATATCGAAAATAATAATTACACAATATAATCATTAATCGTTAATTGTAATAAATAACGAATCGATTATAATTACTAATTAATGAAATATCGTTCTACGTCTTTTTAAGAGAATAATCTTTACATTTAAAATTCGCGCCGTTTTATTATTAAATTAATGCATTAATCAAATAATGAATTAAATTGTTAATTAAATATTAAGCATATCTGTAGAGAACAATCTCTCTCGTTTAAAATTTTTTCCACGTTTTATTATATAAACTGTATCGTTTAAAGTTCATAAAGTACTTTATTTATTATGACAGACAATATACAAACGGAGGAACGATCAAACGCGACATCATATATATATATATATATTTAAATATATATTTACATCACACACATAAAAACGATATATACGATCGCTAAATATAGAGACATGAAAATGAAACTTTTTAAACCAATCAGAAGTTTGTCATTTTTTAAATTTAAAATTTAAAAAGACGAAGACATTGAATGAAAATATAAGAAGAAAAAAAAATGTTGAAAAAAAGAGAAAAAAAAGAGAAAGAAAGACATTTATAAAGATTCTGTTATGAATTACGTTGTTAAATGATGAAGCAGAGACAGCAGATCGTGTATCAAGATAAGTAACGAAGAAGAAGAAAAATGAAAAGAATAAGTATACGCTGATGTAAAAAAAAAAAAAGCAAAAATATAGCAAAAAGATTTCATGTATAAATATATATACTGCGAAATATGCATAAGTAGAAAAAAGGGAGAGCATAAGCGAATGGTCAAGGAAGTAAATAAAACAAGGAAAAAAGAAAAGAGCGCGAGTAGTAGTAGGTGGTAGTGGTGGTGAGGAGATGGTGGGGGGATGTAACATCGGATCCATCTGTCATGGCCGATACTCGGTGCGTGTATGTAGTTTTGGTCGGTCCGTGTTGGCGCGCGGAACGTCCTGCTGCTTACGTTCGGGTGAAAAAAGATGGTCCGAAATAATGGGAAGACGGTTAAGCGCAGAAGGCGTTAGTGATCTGACGATCCTCGTGCCGGATGATTTATTCGATAAGTCCGGGACGATGGAGTCACGGACACGACGTATTCGATTACGGATCTTCGTTGGTCTATGTCTATTTCTTGCATTAACCGGGATCGTATATCTCGGTTACTTTTGTCCGGATCACGTGTGTGCCCTGACCAATCGACAAGACATCAAAGAGTCTGGAAGAATTCCAGAGGGGAGTTTATCATTTGGTGCACCTGCAGCTGCCTTGTCATCTTCTGTCTCTATAGAGCTCGACAAGAACGGTCTTTTTTCTTTACACCCTGCATTTAAGTTACAAAGCATACAGGGAAGTCTTGGTTATGATGATATATTTGCCAACGACACATTTCAATTTGACATCAATGCGCATGATGTTATGGTGTTCCTGCATATTCAAAAGACAGGTAAGCTAAATGTTGCTATTCTTAATGCTTCCTTGTTATTGTCATCTTATTGATATGTTACCGTCTAATGCAATACATTTATCTGACCCGGGGTTAATTGTATCGATATTACATAGAGAAATACGTTCTTTCTATTATTCCATTGATTACCAAACCTATATTTAATCTTTAATTTATCGAATCCAAATTTGAGAACTTAACCATAGATTTATTTGGCTATAAGCCAAAGCAATGTGATGGCATAATAAAAGCATGGAAACTTCCCTTCTAACCATTGTGTAGTTAAAACCTATGCATTATTCATTAGGCATCCTCAAACCAACAGGGCCTATCTTAGAAAGAAAGAGAATAATTCTAAATTGTTGAGTTGTTTAGTATGCTGTAGGTTTATGTCTTTCCTTGAGTATCTATAGCCTACTCTTCCCTTGTTTTATCCATTTCAAAAAAAAAAGAACATAAAAATGAAATATATGCGTTATTTCTATTTAAATTTAATATTTACTCACTTATGTTATTAAAAAACAAAACAAAAACAATAAAACATTTCTATATTTCATAGCTAATTTGTATTGTTAATGGCTTTCTGTTAAAGGGGGAACATTGTTTGGTAAACATCTAGTAAGAGATCTGGATCTACAGAGACCGTGTTCTTGTCAGAGAAGACGTAAGCGCTGCCTTTGTTTCCGTCCACACCGCAGTGAAAATTGGCTTTTTTCTCGATACTCTACTGGCTGGAAGTGTGGCTTACACGCTGACTGGACTGAATTAACTAGTTGTGTTGATTCAGAGTTAAACAAAATTGAAGGAGAAGGAATAAAGCGTAGATATTTTTACATAACTATCATAAGGGATCCCGTTGCACGTTATTTGTCCGAATTTCGACATGTGCAAAGAGGTGCGACATGGAGAGGTGCACGTCATTGGTGTGGTGGAACTCAAGCTAATATACCGCAGTGTTATAATGGACTTAGTTGGCAAGGAGTTAGTTTAGAACAGGTGATATTAATATATTATGTAGTAATATATGTACATAAAAGAAAAAACAAAAGGCTAAAGGTACAGTTTAGTTGACTGCTCGTATTATTAAATTGTTTTGTTAGCAAGAAAAAAATCAACTTCTATATTTAATAAGAAAATTTTAAATGTTTTAGAAATACACTGTCTAAGCACACAGTCGTACTTCTTATCTGTAGTTTTTTTTTATCTTATTATTTTGCATAGATACAGTTCTTATCAAGTAACCTGTCATACTCATTAATTCAAGGTCTTATGAATAATTAAATATCGCAATGAATCATTATTTGCGGGATAGTTCGCACTTGATAATAAAACAAATAGAAAATGTACACATAGCTGTAATATTGCTTTATTCCATACGATAATATGCAATAAATGATAAGGTTATGGTGGTTATTTGATCAATTAAAATTATCGTTTGTGCAGTTTATGGCGTGCCCATACAATTTGGCAAGCAATCGCCAAACAAGAATGCTGGCCGATTTGTCAATAGTTGGTTGTTACAACTCTACGCTTAGCAGCTTGGACAGGGATCGTCTTATGTTGGCTAGTGCCAAACATAATTTACAATTTATGCCTTTCTTCATGTTGACTGAGTTCCAAAAAGTAAGAATTTAAAAGTTCAAATATCAAATTTGCATGAAAGCATGATATTAATAACATCAGTAATTTATCTAAATTATTGTTTATAATCATACTTTAACACTTCAATGGGTCAATTTAAATAACAATATATTATAAGTTTTTTATTCTTTCATTTAAATTTTTTGAACCTTCTGTCAGTTTTTCATCCATTCACTGTACCAGTCCTGTAGTATAGAACATACTTGTAAATTGTTTTATTTTTTCATTATTCATGCTAATGTTTTAATTGGTGCATGTAGCATTTATTAATGCGTAAATATCTTGTATATATATTTCTCCTGGTATATATTTCTGTCATCATTGTATAGTTGCATTCATGTGCTTAAAGTTCAGCTAGACTTAAAGTAAATATTTATATTTCTCTGTTTGCCTTTAACATCTGTTAACCATAAGTGTATTCTTGTGGGCTTGTTGCTTTAAATTTTTTTTTCTCTTTTTGCTTTCAAGATAATATATCGAATATAAACTTTTTCATGCTTATACGCGTTATAATTTTAAATTTAAAATAAAAAGAAATTTATTAATTATATTAAATAATGTTTATATAAATAAAATTTAAGATTTATAAATCATTATTAATAATATTAATTATAACAACAGGTGGGCCAGTATTCATTTGAAGAAACATTTGGAATGAGATTTGCTGTTGCCTTTGAACAGCATAATGCCACACTTAGTGCAGCTACTATGGCCACTCTTAAACCCGAACAATTAGATGCAGTGCGTAAACTTAACAAATTGGATTTGGAACTATATGAATTCGCAAAGAAACTTGCGTTTCAAAGGTTTAGAAAACTCAAAGATCGTGATCCTTATTTTGTGCAACGATTTCAGCATCTTGGAGAATTACCCTCAAGACAAAGTGCCACAGAATTTAATTGGGACTCCGTTATTGAAGATACTACGGATAATGAATAGTGTGTGAGTATATTAATAGACATTAATCATTAATGATACGCATAAAGCTGTTGCACTGGATCTGAGTGTCTCAGGGAAATGCGCATTGGAACAGAATGCTTTATATACATGTAGTTATCAAGCGCATTTGTTGCGTGAGTTTTACCAAAAGTGTCGTAGGATTTTACTTGGACAAGACCAAAGAGAGCTCCAAGAAACTTGGTATTATCCTTGGTACTTTTCAATGATTTCATGTAAGAATAGATATCAAGATAATTATAATGTGAGAGAAGAAAAAAAAAGATAAAGAAAAAAGTCTTTATATATTCTTAAAACATTTGCAAACACTCTATGAAAGCTCTTCCATATATGTATATGGTTAATATAACTTTGCTTATATAACACTGAGATGCAATTATTAAAAAGTACTGATTTTTCCCTATATGTTAAAACGAATATTAGTTGATGAATGGGATTGCATCTACATTTGTTGAAATAAAATCTTAATAATAGATACGCATATAAGATTTAAATTTTTTGTGCGTGTTCAACAGGATTCAAGGGATTTGTACAAACAAAATTAGGAATAGAATTTCTCTTTAATTGTGATAAAATCTCTATATATCTTTACATATGTGCGTTTTTAAAATGTAGTTTCAACGCTAAACAAAAAATCATAGATCGAATTAAAGTCTCATCCTATTTTTATTAGTCTCAATCTTGTCTAATATTATTGTTATTATATTAAAAAAGAAAAATTACCTTTGTGATTTCGAAAATATTAACATATCTAATCTATGAATTACATGATTTATTGTATTTTGTATTTGATATTCGTACACATTTTGAAAATCAGAAAATTTTGGATAAACATCAAAATTTCATATATCAAATCTTTCTAATTATGGCATTTAACTTTTTTAGGATATGACTACAAGTAATTACTGACTCGATTAGATATACAAGTTTAAAAATAAATTGTCTCTTGGTTTAAATGCGTTTATAAGGAAGAGTATACATACGAGTGAGTGATACTTATGATGGCAGCAAATTTACTCCGTTTAACATACACAAACTGATTTTTATATTTCGAACAATTTACTTCTGGCTTAGGGTTGTGACATCTAGTTATTAAGTATGTATGCTTCTGAGCTATTATAATTATTTAAGAGTTACTTTTAATTATTACAATATATAACATACATGCACACATGCGCGCGAATGGCTGCGAACAAAAACATTTGATATTATATCATGTTAATATAATATAACCCTTGGTCCTGTGAACAAAAAAAAGATCTCAAATCATTATGTTTTATCTCTTTTTAGAATCATTACTAGTGTGTGATCAATTGTGTTAACAAATTCTATATATATATACATAACGTTTTATCAACTTTAGGCATAATGATAATGATAATTTTATTGGTAGTCGAGCTTTTTAAAATAAATCGTGTATAGATTATAAATTACTTTTGTAAATATGCCAAAAGATATATATTTTGTAATTGGATTATTTGCATTGTAAAGGAAATGATATCAGGTTTATTAAAAAAAAAAAAATTTTTTTAAATAGTTTAAGCAATAAGATCTTTATGAAAGAAACTAGCATCGGTGGTCATACATCTGATAATTATTATGATATAGAATAGTAAATATTTAATTATATATAATTACAATAAAAAAAAAAGAGAAAATATCTTGATTTAGTACGTAGAGTATTTCTGAAAAAAAAAAACGATCAAATAACGTCCAAAACAATGAGTGCAGTCTGGTAGAATTACTTAATATATTATAGTATATATAAAATAACTTTTAAATAATTTATCAAGAAGAAAAAATTATTAGGTATATTGGTCATTAATTATATCTTTTAAAATAATAATGAAAGACGTGGTTTTATAAGTTTAATTAATTAATTATTAATAATTACTGCCTAATGAGAATTATGTGCAATACAATTCGCTGGGTTACCATTATAAATATTTCATATCATTCAGTCATAAACTAAATGTAATATATCTTATATCTTTTTAGCGAATATTTTATATATCATTAAGGCATAGGTTGCAAAGGCTCTCTTGGATGTATTTAATGTTGGTCTCTCGAATGAACACAATATTCCTATAATAAAAGATAATAAAAGAAAAAAAAAATAAATAAATAATAGAAAACCAGTGCCATTAAATTGCTATTTTACACATTATAAATATGTCTGTAAAATAAAAAGAAAGAAAAAAAAATGCATAAATTAATGTTCAATGGAATTAAATCAAGTGAAGGTAGAGTTAATAGTTGCCGTTAATAATAATGAATTGTAAATTTTATGTGATATGTATTTTACAATATGATTTATATGTCTTACATTCTAAAAGTCTTATACAGAGTCGAAAATGAATAAAAAGGGTTGAATAATATACAACGATTCCTTAATTTTCAGTGTTAATTTTTGTTCTATTTTTTTATTTGATTCTGAAATTTAAGTATCATTAATTTTAATTTCATTTTTACCTTATAACTCTGTATATAGCTCTCATTTAAATTATTATAAAAGCACATTGTTTTCAATCGAATGACCTACTTATAAAAATACATAAACATATGTTGTAATACAAATTGCATAAAAATAATATTAAGGACCAAAGATTAACTATGTTTTGCAAGTATTTTAAATGTTTGCAGCACAATCATAAAAACGACCTTTTATATGTGACACAATAATTAACTCATTATATGTACAGTAATCAGAAAAAAAATTCAATGTAAGGCTGCATTTGATATCTAAATGCAACGAAGAAAAATTTATCACATAAGAATACAAATGATACATTCTATATCACTCTGTATAAACAAAGTTGATTCTTATCGATGTTCGACATAATTATAAAATATTCAACGACCGTGTCACGAAATATTAGAGCAATAAAATTAACAACTAATTTTATTAATTATTTTCAATCTTAAAAATTTTTTATAATCAATTAATTGCCTTCCGGATAACATTTAAGATATTTTTTTTTTTTATAAATGTAACAAGATTTAGTATATTCTATGTAAAGAAATCCAAGTAAGGTTTACATTTTTTTGTGCATCTGGTTTGTTAATTATTTTTAATATTTATGTAATTCTCTATATATATATATATATAAATATAAGTGTATAACTATACGCATATACTCAATATATATTAGTGTGGATCAAAAATTAGCTTTAACATTTGAAATTTTTGGTATCGAAATATGTTATAAATTTATTATTAATGAAGAATAAAGCCATGACACTAGCCCAATAAAAAAATAAGAGTAGGCCTAAGATGTTGGTATTTTAGTAATGTCAGTGTAAATAACATCATACCGTTACATCATTATAAATTAATAATTCTACATAAAAATGCGTGTAAACATGATAAAAATACATGCAAATGTAAATAGTCTTGTGCGTGCAGTAAACAAAAACATTATTAATAATTAATGATCATTCTATTATTGTACGATTATATATATATATACATGAGGCATAAATATTATATTGTTATTATGATTTACTAAACCCGCTGTTGCTACATAACAAATTGGAAATTCAGTAACAGTAATAAATATGGAATATATGTATACCGAATTTAAGTATATTGCTAACTTTGTCTTTAAAATGAATGTTGTAAACTTTTTAATTTTAATAAAACTAAAAAGGTCTCAAAAACAAATTGCACTAACTTACTTATAATAAGATTATTTAATTATTAATATATATAGTTTCTTCAGATAAAAAAAAAGAAAACTATAGATATTAGACAAAACGTTTATTTTTGCAGTCGCTCTAATTATTAAATATATATATATATATATATTACATTATAATAAAGATTCCTTTTTTATGTTATTGTATACAATATTTAACTGCAAATAGAATTATATATAATTAACGCAACATTTTTATTCGTTTTTAAGATGGACAAAGTGTACTTTGAATAGTTTAAAATTGTAGTTTAAAATTGTCTGATAATTAGCCGTTGCAATATTATTCATATCATATTGTGTGTATGTATCGCTAGAGTAAAGACTGTTCTAGCATTATCTTTTCAAAACCCATCGGCGGTGGATGAGCAAAATTATCCAAAATTAAATCTAATATAGCTCCGTCATCAACTGAAAATATTTTCATAATAAAAATTATTAATGATATAAAATAATACTATGTATCATTATAAAATTAGATAAAAGATCAAATAGAAGCAGACCATAAAGCACGGGATAAATTGTTCCTTTGATACCAATGATCGGGGCTTCCAAAGATTTTCCATTAATGTAAAAATTTAATTCTATATGATCATAGGACACTCCCTAAAAGTGTGTATAACATTAATTGTATATATTCCCATTATTACTAAATGATACACAACTTATATTAATCTTACAACAATATCTCCTTCCTCTACAGGATTTTGAATCTTGTGCAACTCTTGCTGATTGTGCCTTAAAATGCCATCTGAATTAAGAGCCCAACTTTCGCTGTCATTTCCTCCAATTGCAGTAGTAAGATCTGTAGATTTGGTACCTAATCCGATAGCCCATATTCCACCCTGCTGTATTTTAACTTCAAAGTAACTCTTGCTCTGAGCAAGAGGTGCATTTGTTAAGGCACCACCACGTCCACAAACTCTTAAACCATTTTTGACTATAACTACTTCATGTCCTACGAATTACAAATATAAAATATATAAAGCAGAAATATATACTATATATATATGATATTTAAATGAAATATTCCTGTGTAATCATTTGTGTCTATTTTGGTTAGGTTCGACAACAAAAAAAGAATTGTCATGCTTTTCTCAACAGTATAATAATAAATTTACATTTATTGTTATTCTTTTCTTCGTCTCAATTCTTTTGATATTTTATTATTAAATAAAGTTATAAACAACGAACTTCAAACATATATAAATATATATATATATATAATATTAAATTTGGAATAGAACAAGTTCTATTTTGTTAATTGATGACAATTAAAGAAAAAAGTCATTTGACAAATACGTAGAAATATAATTCCTACAAATAATTAGATTTACTTGAATGATTTTTCTGCAGAAAAAATGATGGTTACCCATATGAGTTGTATCCAAAGTAATCGGATTTGGTTCTTTTTTTGGAATTTGCGTTGCGGTAAACCCAATACCGTCAAAACAATTTCTCAAACAGCAAAACATCTTTTTATTTGTTGTTGTTGTCTTTCTTTAATTCTTTTTTTGTTTTTTTTTTCCTTCCACTGATCTATTCAAAAGAGTAAACACAACATTGCATCGTTTGACACGAGGAAAAAATTGAATTTTTCCTCTAGGAAAGTTGATGATTCATATAAATTCTTTTTCTCTTCGCTCTCGATCACTATAAATTAAGTAAATATCGATCGAATTGTTAAAGGTATTAATAGTGCACAGTATTTTTTTTAACAAATAATTAACAGGTACTTTAATCTCTGATAGTTTCTACGACTTATTCAAAACTTGTGTGTGGTGGTAACAGAAAATGGCTTCCTTCACTGACACATATTTAATCAATATTAACTGTTCTTTTTATCATTATTATTGCATTTTTAAATAATGTTAAAAAAGATAATTAAACAATATCTATAATTTATAGTCTATCAATTTTTACGATAAAAAATTATTTATATCGATATGACGCAAGAATTCAAAAAATTTAAAGGTTAAGTTTTAAGTAATTTGAAGGTTATATTTTCATCCATGCAATTCTGAAGCATGCACATTTTTAAAAATAATTGTATAATTAATAGGACAGGCTTATTTATAGTAGGAAGGTTATATAAAAAATATTACAAAATTATAAATTAAATTGATGTTGATATTTTTATTTATTTATATTACGTATAAACTTAAACTCGACTAGGATACAGCATCTGCAACAGAATGAAAAAAATGAAAATTTATATCTTTCTGATTTAAATTTAGAGAAATTTATGATCTATATAGTTAATAATTAAGAAAATCTATAATTACAATTCTAATGCGATGACCCATAGCCTTGGCTGGTAAATTTCTCTTGAATTTAGCACGAACTGAACCACTGGTACCATGTGGACGAGTTACTTTACCCCAAATGGCTCTTACTTTAGTTTTTTTTGTAGTTTTACCAGGAACAGGTGTCCTATTCTTAGCCTGAAAAGATAAATATTTGTAATTATATGTTCTCATTGTTAAATTATTATAACTCAATATATTAAAATACTTACTTTGTATACGTAGACACATTTCTTGCCGATATAAAAATCGGAGTCACCTTTAGTTCTTGCTCCTTCAACTTTTAATAAGGCTGTATGTTCATGTTGATTACGAAGACCACGCTTGTATCCAGTAAAAATAGCCTTAGCATAAAGACGTCCATGTCTTTTGAAAGGCCGTTTTTTTAATGGTACAGGTTCGGAAGCCTTTTCTACTGGCTTCTTCTGTGCCTTTGTTTTGGTCTTCGGATTAGCAGCAACGTCTGCCATTTCTGTAAGAAAGGTTATTACAATAATTAATATGTAGAGATTTGTGCACTTTACTTATATACCACTAATCAATATTTATATTATTTATAAATATATTAAGATCTATAACCATTCATTTAATTTTTCAATAAAACTCATTTATTTAATTTTCTTTAAGAACTTATATTATTTTTGAATTAATCAATGTATTATTTTTATAAAAAACAAATACACAAAGTATGATTTATAGTAATGATTGTTTAATGATTGAAAAAATGAAATATTCATTTCATTGTTTTTAACGTTATTATGTTGTAACATCGTGATACAAAACCGTTTTTAGAATCTATTGAAATCGTAAGATTATTTGCAAAATGTTGTTAAATTAAACTTCGTATTACATCTTAACATCACATTAAACAAATTCTCACTATTATCTGTCTTACTTTTTTATTAATTATAAAGATATGTTTAAATATTTACAGATGCACGTAAGAAAGAACGTACCGGATATTTAGCTTAATCTCAAAAGAGGAAACAGAGAGAGACGAGATACCTGCCCTCTGCTGAAGAAAAGTTTTAACTAAAATTCGATCTTACTGACAGAGCAAGTATCGTTTAAATTGTAGATGTCGCCACAGGTTTATTTTTTGGAATTTTCCCAACGAATTATTTTTCTATAATTAGCGTATTTAAGAGCTTTCTTTTAAGTGATATAGAATTTCCAGGTTAATCTCAATAATTTTTATATTTAATATTACACATTTTTATCTGTTTAATAATTATACAAATAAGTATAATATAAATAGAAAATCAAGTACGTTAATAATGCAATATTTTTAGTTCGTATTATCAGTTTTCTTTGTTTTTTTTTTATTAACTCAGAAATTCTTTGCAATTTATTCCTATGAATGTTCGACTAATAGTTCTATTTAAATTTAGGGTAATACGTGGTTTTTACTAGTTAATGAAATATTTACCGAATATTACGAGCATAAGGTTAAATCATAAACGATTGAACAATGTGATCATTTTCAAAAATAACGCATTATAGAGAACAAGGAATTTCTAATAACCCATGTCTATTATGACAAACAATGCACACATCAAAGTTTCTACCTTTAACCAGGTATAATATAATTTAACTTTGTATAATATTACGAGGATCGTTCATTGTAATGAAACTAGAGAATATTACAACGAATGGATGAAGGAAATTTGGACGGGCAGTAGTAAATTCAATTTATCGATCGTTCAAGTTATAGATACAAAAGGATAGAGCTTGCATATCGGTTTTATAGTACTTTTACCATTTTTTCATCGTTATTTTCTATCGCTCTCAAGGTTGTTACGAGTAAATTCAAAATCGAGTATTCCGCTTCGCGAAGCGTGCAAATTATCCGATGCAGAATGTATATCACGCCTGCGTGTAGAATCTACCGCATTTCGAGTTTTACCTTCGGTTACGATCCTTTCCGTTTCATGAATCGTCACGATGGAAAGGATCATTCTTTCTCTCTCTCTCACTTTCTCTCTCTCTCTCTTCCTTCTCTTTTTCTTTTTCTTCATTCCGTTTTTTTTCTTGGTCGTGAAAAACTCGATAAACGTTTTTACTTGTTTCCCTTGAAGATTCATTGACATATGATTTTATTTAAACAGATCATTTCTTCATTATTTTCGATCAGTCGATAAGTAGATTTCATTTAGAAAGTAGTTTTAGGATTTACTACTACGTTAGTTTTTACATGTCCGTCCGGTGCAATATAATATTTCAAAAAATAAAAAAGATTCTTCTTTTTCTCTATTTCGTTGGAAATTCAATAGTGATACATTTTATGCTTGTTTTTTTGCGAAAATTTATTGACATGGTAGAATTTTTATTTTCTCGAAATAATGGCGGCAGTTTTCATTTGCTTTAAATATCTGTCCAGTACAATGTAATATTTCAAAATGAAATAATCGTTCTTTTTTCTCTCTCACGTATTCTTCTTCTTCGAAAATATGTTAAACGTTTGTATTCATTTTTTTTTTGAATTGATATACAATAGTATTTAATGATTTTAATAAATAATTGAAATTGTCAATTAATTCATGTGTATTTAGGTAATATTAAAAAGTTTTTAATTTCAGATTCTACTACAGCAGTCATAGATTTCCGTAGTTCGGAAAACATGGCGGTAATTCTCACTCATGTTAAAAGTTTGTTCAGTTCAAATTAATATTTCAAGAGGAAAAGATTGCTATATTTCTTTCTTGCTTGTAAAAAATTTGACCAAGGTTTGTATTAATTTCCTTTAAACATTTATTAACATTTTATTTAACAATTTTAAAATATAATTCCTTTAACTTTTTAATAAATGTTTAAGTTCCATAAAAAATTAGTTTTTCTAGAATCCACCACTACGTTAGTCATAGATTTTGGCAGTTTGAAAAAAATAGCGGCAATTCTCACTCAAATGAAACGTCCGTCTGGTGGAATATAATATTTCAAGAAGAAAAGCTCACACACACACACACACAAGGAAGGAGAAAATAAAATCGCGGTAGGTATGCTGCCACCAAAACGTTTGGATTTATTTCACGCGACCTCGAAGCAGATAGGAGATTTATGTTAGGCGTTTTCATCCCTCGGTTCACCCTCGTACTCGCTTCACCCTCAATCTCTCTCTCATTCTCCTTTTCATTCTCCTTTCTCTTCTTCCTCACTCTCCTCATCCTACTCTTCGTCTCATTCTCATCCTCTCATATAGTGTTCCCCTCCTTAGCGTTTCCTCTTTCCTTCATTCCATTGTGTCGAAATCACGCAGAGAAAAATAAGAGATAGCGGAATTCCCGAGAATTATCGAGAGGATGGAAGTGTTCGTTGGTACTTGCTTGGTGAATTTCATTCAGCGTCATTTTCGTCGACTAAACGAGTCCGGAAACATCCTATGCATTGTTTTCTCACTGGCTAATGATTTAACCGAAGGATTTTTCTTTTTTTTTCTTCTTCTTTTCTTGTCCTTAATGAATCTTTCGTTTCGATTATCGTCATATGATTTCTCCCTGGAACGATTGCTTTTTTTTAAAAACACTGTAGTCGATTACTCGATGATAATGATTCTATACAGTTCTGATAAAAATATATTTATTTATTTTTTCAGAATTGTCACGAGATGAATCAACTATCTCAATCATCATTATTATCATCGCGTGTACATTATTCTAAGGAATATTATTTTAGAAGAAAATCACGAAATGGAAGAAAAGATTTCTCAGATAACAATTTTACGAAGTTCTGATAAAACAAGATTTTTTGATTTCAAGATTGTGTCAGGAGGTAAACCAGAGCGATAGATTATTTATTGAGACATCTTTCGTTTCGTTCTTCTCGTTCCATTCTTCTTCTCTTTCTCATCCCTATTTCTCAAAGCTCCGTGCGTCATCCGGCGTCTCCCCAGGGATTCAGGAAACAATGTCATCTATCTTCCAGCGTGATCCACGTCCGGTGCATCATGCTGGAATTACCGGTACTAATACACACTGCTGTATCGTATAGCCGAGACTATACGAGGTATTCACGTATGCGATCTGCCAACCAACATAGATCCATGATCTACCTACTTATCTATTGTATGTTTATCCGCATTCCGTGTTTCAGGATCTAAGGTTAACCCTTTCATCCCTAATAGAGATCCTACCTAGTTGATTTAACCTGTTCAAATCAATCCTTGATTCTTATTACTACTTAAATTTCATTGAAAATTTATGAAGAAAGTGTAAGTATTTTATTCAAGTTTATTAATTAGATACTATCCAACTGTTTTAATTACATTACATATTTATGAGGATATTGTATTCTATTAACGTTTTTAAAATAGATATTATTCTATTATAGTAACTATCACATTTATCTCTTAAATATATATTTCTTAGTGTAGTAGGATGATCAATGTTGGAATTCTATCTTGTTAATATTTTTTATTCGTTTCTCTTTCTCTCTCTCTTTCTTCTTTTCACACCTTATTTTCTTTTCCTGTAGTATACGAGGCGAGAAGAGATCCTTAGGGAATCCTATGATATAGCTATATGTACGTACTATAAGTATATCGTGGTTGGTTGGAGGAAATAAAAATATACAAGTTTTATCACGCGATGATAAATCGAGTAATCGTAACCGAAGAATTTTTTTATCATGGTTATAGGTGAGTAGACTAATTTTTTTTATTTACTCTCATTCACCTTTTGTATATTTTACAGGTATATATATATATACCTACCTCCCGTTCTTCTTTTCTTTTAAAAAAGAAAGAGAAAGAGATGTTGACGGACAATAAATTTATGTAAGTAGATGGGTAAACTTCCGGGCGAAAGTCCGAAACTTCTATCGGTAAAGTGGCATCATTTTTCATGCAAATATTAAGGCTTTATGCAACGTCAAATCGGTTCATTTCGTAGGCGTCATTAATTACGCGATTACATTAGATAGTTTCGATAGTATATATCTACCTTGATTAATTATGTTATCCAATAGAAAAATGTCTATTCTCTTCTTTTTTTGTAAATATCTGTAAAAGATTTTCTTTATTCACAGAAGAAAAGAAAAAAGAAAGATGGATAGAAGAAAGAAAAGTTTTCAAAAGATAGAGAGAGAGAGAGAGAGAGAGAGAGAGAGAGAGAGAGAGAGAAAGAAAGAAGAAAAATTATTATTTCCTGAAAATTCATTGAAGGCAGTATCGAGGTCAACGTATGCACGACTTGTCTATAACGTGCTAGATTCGGTGTAAAAATTTCATTCTTTCTTAGAAAGCTCGACAGGATAGAAGGCGACCGCGAAAAACGCAGACATCGCGGAAAAACCTGTTTGAATAATTCAAGTCTTTCCACCAGGGGCTAAGAGTTAGAAAGAAAGAAAGGGAAAAAGAGTGGAAAATATAGAGAAAGAGTGTCGACGAATAAGAGCGTGCCTCGAAATTTTTATCTCTAACTTTTCGTACAATTGCTGTTTCGATCTTTTCTCTCTTGTTACTTCTAGTCTTTATAATCATTTTATTTTTATCTATTTTCTATTTAATTTATATATTTATAGTGTCAATTTCCATATAATTATAATATATTCAAATTATCTATTAGCAATAACTATGACAGTGATCTAACAATAAGTAAAGTAATTGTAAGAATTGATTTTATATGATTTCTTTTATATAATATACATAATTGTGATATAAAATAAATCAATTTTAACAAATTGTTAGCTTACAATTAGACCACTGCCTTAATTACCAGCACATATTTCAAATTATCTTTCTTATTTACCATAGTAAATTACTTAACATTTCAAACACCCTTTTTATCTTCACTCTATAAATTTGATTTAAAATATTGGAATACTATTTAACGTAATATTATTTATCTAACATAAAATATTTGTATTCGTAGGTTTGATAAATGATAAAAGCGTGTAACAAGATGGACGATCTGGAAAAATATAGATATAGTATGCATTCATACATTCATATATACATACATGAATTCACAAAGTAGATCAGTTGCGTTTTGTGAAGAAGGAACGAACATAACGGTGAAAAGCGACGATTTTCCTGGAAAAATTTTCAACGCACGGATCTTACTTGATAGTAGTGCAAGGTGAAATATCGAATTTCTCAAAGCGTTGATACGTGCGTAGATATATTTGTGTGTGTATTTCTATAATACTGGATACCTTTATACACATATACATATAAATATCTAAATATAAAAATATACATATATGTCTATATAAACACATACATGTATATACATACGTACATATACGTGCATACTCATATATATTATATAAAGTACATGTATTCTTTACATTATATAGTAGCACGATTCTCAGGGCCTTTTTTCTTTAGCGTGTCTCTCGTATCTTGCTTCTTCCGTTGTGCTCATCGCACGTATGCCATACAATAGGCACATATGGATTACAATAGCTCTTGTCATACGCGCCATACATACTCACGATGTTCACGATGCCAGGATTTTATGAAACAGACGCCGTCGCCGTCGTCGTTGTCGTCATCGTCGTAGTCGTAGTGTAGTATAGTCATAGTCGTAGTCGTAGTTGTATTCGTATTCGTTGCAACTCGACTACATATAGTAAAGATCGATACATCGATCGTAACACTTTGATCGTCTTCTTTTTTGTGTTGTGAATCGATGCTCGGGAAGTCTATAAAACAAGCTATAAACTGGGGAAGATTTTCCTCCGAACACGATACGCCTCTTTTCGTCTTCTTTCTTCTCTTCCTATATGCGCTACAGTTCTCTTTGATTTTCTTTCTTTGAAATATACGTCTATGTATATATATATATATATATATATATATATATATATATATATATATTTTTACTATCTACGATATAAAAAATTTTCTATGTTTTTCTTGCCTATCTTTATATATGTGTGTATATATATATAATTATATTTATGTATGGACTTATTTAGTATGGGGAGATGTCTTTTAGAAATATTTTTTATTTTGCAAAGTTATTGAGAATATTTGATTGAAGTGAAAACTTCTTTAGAATCTGGGTGATTTGAAAACGAATGAAACGATGAAACGATAAAACAAAAAAATGACGAAAAGCTTGCGTCACTAAAAAGAGAAAAAAAGACAAACACTTAACACCTATAGGATTGAGCCTGCGAGAGAATGAGATAGAATATAGTATAGTTCTTCCTATTTTCGATTTCCTCTTTGTTTGGTGCTTCGTATTCCTCACTCCTAACTACTAAGCGTTGTATATGTGTGTGTTTGTGCACGACTGCATACTACGAAACGTAAACTCAAATTATTTTACAGAGAACCCAGCGGCATTATAAGTATTATCTATGGACGTAGAAATGTTCGAGTAATCTATCGATAGCCTTGTATAGTTTTTTGGGTATAATTACTTCTCAAAATTACTCAATAATTAACTATTTTAGTTTTAAATTTCCAACTGTTCTTCTCGTTTTATTACAGTTATCTTATTCCTGATACTGTGCATTCGTCTCATTCTTTCTTAGCTTGGTTTTTAATTTCTTTTTTTAAATTTAGTACGATTTTCTGTTCATATTATTTGCTTTCTTAGAAATACATGCTGTGTATGCATATATATTTTTATTATCATATAAGAAATAAGAATTTTTGTTACTTTTTCTATGTTAATATAATTTTATATATTTTGTTGAATATTTTATTATAATTATTTTAATTTATATCTTTTTCAGGATAATTATTATTTAATGAATGTTCGGGCATTCAAAACTCTACTGCATACATTTCTACGTATGCATATACATGTATTAGAGTCTTTATGGATTTTATAGAAATGGCAAAGGCAATGGTGGTTTATTCATCGTTCAAATAAATTATGAGAATTAAGGACTTTGAGGAAGCCCTTTTTGAACTTTTAGAGCGTGATTTATTTGCTCGTGAATAAATCCTTTATATAGTAAGAATAGATATAAAACTTTCTTATATTTATCTTAATAAAACGTATAACATAGTATATATCTAAATAATATCTTATAATATAATATAATATATTAGGTTGTTATGAAAATTGATGTTATTTATTTTTATTAAATATACATAGATTTTTGTAAAAATCAGCATAAACTCTTTTGACAACCCAATGCTTATTTATACCATTAGGTTGTCTAGAAAGTTTACGATTTTTCTGACATGAGTAACATGATATATTATATAGTTTATTAAATATTATATTATTTTTATAGAAATGTTTATGTGCGAAAATATTGTATTAATTATACCAGCTCATTCTATAAATATATAGAAACATTATCCATAATACGTTATCAAATATAATATCAAGACGATCAATTCGATGCTTATTTTAAAGGTGATAGGAGTTTGGTAAAGTGAGAGATGGGAAGAAACGAAACTGGCAGGTTGGTGTCGTACATGCAAAGAGGAAACTGCTAAGACGTTTCTTGTATCTACATACAAACGAGATCTCTGATGGTAAGACTGCCTAAGGTTGACAGCTGTCTGAGAATTTTCACTGCGACAACGACGACGAAGACGACGAAGACGACGAGAACGACGATGACGACGACGACGGTGCTATCTCCATAGCTGGATCAATTTCCTGGATCCTTTTCGAGTAAGAAGGACAAGATCCTCGAGGTTCTTGCACCACGTTATCGGAAATTTTCCTCTTCTTTCTATCGTCTCACCAACCCATATAAATTCTAGAGTTCACACGTACACACATTTTGATTTGCTCGAGAGATGAAAGGGAACGAGATAGATCGAAAACACAAAGACGTTTCCTAAGAGCTTGGAAAAAAACTTAAAAAGAACTAAAGAAAGTGATACTCTCCCGTAGACTAAATTATTTTTATAGTTTACTATATTTTTTGTAGATAGTTATTATGATTTTTAATACTCCATTTTTGATATTTATTCAGATTGATATTAATTATCTATTTTTCATCATTTTCTTTAAGCACAAAATTAATTTCAATATTAATTAATTAACAGAAAATTTTAGAAAAATATGAAGAATGGACAGATAGATTAACTAATTTTCAAGTTAAATTCTTTAATGTTATTTTAAATATATATATATATATATATATATATTTCATTTTTAATATTATTATTTACTTAGCTTTATTAATATTAATGTAATTACTTTAAATGAAGTATTGAACTATTCATGATCTTAATAAAATATATTCATTCGATATTCTTTATAATTTATTTTAGAAAAAAAGAAAAAAAATATAATTAATTTCATACAATATTACAAACGAATTGAACTCGACATTGAATCATGAAACGAAGAAAAAAAAGAAAAAGATCCTAATTGAATATTAATCAACTTTACTCGGTCTCTTAGAAATATTCAATAATCTCGCGTAGTGGCGTGTCTTGGAAAAGCATATTAACACGTCGACTACGTTTGGAACGTAATCTACGAGTTATGCATCTTGCATCTAATTTATTTTCCATTTCGCTCTAGTTCCTCTTACATTTAATAGAACACGTCATCGTCATTGCTAGATCCTATCTTAAGAATCGTATTTCGATTTTAGGTGAAACATACCAGTTGAAGAATAACCTAGCTACCTTGGTTACCCAATTCGAGAATAAACAAAGAAACGAAGGAATGAACGAACGAACGAACGAATGTTGCCATTAGCGGTCGAGTGCATTCGAGTTTGTGAAAATGTAAGCTAAAAAGAGAAATACTAAGAAACTGTGCAAAATAGAAAAAGAGACTTGCAGAGAAAGAGTGAGAGAGTGAGAAAATTAGAAAGAGAAAGAGAGAGTGAAAAAAATATAAAAAAAGGAAATGGAAAAAAGAGTGGGATAGAAAGAGAGTGAGAAAAATAGAGTGTAAGAGAATGTGAGAGAGAGAGAGAGAGATAGGCACGTGAAGAAAAAAACTAGAACAAGAACAGAATTCGTCGAGAAGTGGTAAGAAAAGAAAGAGAGAGAGAGAGAGAGAGAGAGAGTAAAAGGGGTTTAGGACTGAAAGAACGGAGGAAAACAAACGTAATAAGATAGGAGAAGAGAGGAGGTGCGAATGCACAGAAAACAGAAACTCTGATGCTAAGATGAGGGGAATATCGAGAGAGAGAGAAAAAGAGAGAGAGGTAGATGCAAGACAGGGTAGAAAGATTGGAAACGGAGAAAAGGACAGGTATAGCTTACAGATAGAAAGAGAGAGCAAGAGGGAAGAAAAAGAGTAAAAGAAAGAGATAGATAGATACAGAAATAGTGAGAAAGAGAAAGAAAGAGAAAGAACAAGAAGGGCTTGGGAGATGGAGAGCTCTCAGCAAATTGGAGAGCCCTGGCCTTTTCTATTGCATGCCCGTTTCCATTCGCACGGAAACATCGGGGTCCCGCTCTCGTCTTTCTTTTCTCTTTCTCTCTCTCTCTCTCTCTCTTTCTCTTTTCTCCTATCACTCCCACCCTTTTCTTCCTCAACATTTCTCGCTACTTTCGTCGCTCCTCTCCTCATCCCTCTTTTTTTCTGTCTTTCTTTCTTCCTTTCTCTTACTTAGCTAGTTTCTCCTCTCTATTTCTCTTTATATTTCTTTCTTTTTCTTATTTAGCTAGCTTTCTCTTTTTCTCTTTCTGCCTATTTGTTTCTCTCTTTCTCTATCTTTCTCTTGCTCTTATTTCTTTTTGCAGGAGTAAGAGTCTGGTCTGGCAACGAGGGTCACTTATCGTCGCGGACCATCTGCGAGTATCGTCCACAGTCAGCGTACTGTCGGTCTGAAGTATGTGCCGACTTCAGTGCCATCCGATAAGACTTTTCGTATCAGCGTACCAGAGAAAAAAAGTCTTTTCTTCTTCTTGTGGTCACGTTTACTTCTTCCTCTCCTTCCTTCTCTTTTAATTTATTCTCTATTTCTTTCTTCTCCTTTTACTCTTTACTATTTAACAAATTTCGAATATATAATTGATATATAAGATATATTCCTATCAGTAGAAAGATATGACTTTTTTGTTCATTGGCCAGCCAAATGAAAGAGGCGCGATTGTAGATTGGCGAAAATATCTTTTTCTTATATTTTTACTTATTTCTTCTTTTCCTTTCTATTTTATTTATATCTTTTATATTTATATCGAGGGGAAGGTGGCAGGCTTTTTCTATACACCCTCAGAAAAAGAACTCCATTCTTTTATGGGTAGTACCTCTACCTACCACCCTTCACCTTAAACTTCCCCCTTCACTTCTCTTTTCCACAGCAACCTACCTTTTCTTTTACACCTGAAACTCTTAGACTCAACACGCTTTCGCTTTTATCCAGGTCCACGGAGTGTAACATTCTATTGTAGAGGTGGGTAGTAAGCATAGTCTCAGCGTCTACTTTTAACCATTCTTGAATCGAAAGACGGAATCGATACTACCATCCTCCTCTACCTCCTCCTCTTTCTCTTCTGCTTCTTCTTCTTGTTGAAGAAGAAGAACATCACCAGCGAGTGGCTCCTACTGTCTTCTCGCCACTGTCTTCATTAAGTGTTCCGGCTGCTCCAGCTAAATGAGTTAGTCAGTCTCTGCTCTTTGGTCCCGAACCTTGATTGCTTCCAAGGCGTTCTCCTTTTTCTTCAATGAACTACTCTACGTTCTCAAGCCAAGATATCCTTTGTCGTGGCTCAACGCATCAGTCAGAGTAACTGGTTATTCCGTTCCTCTAGTAAGGACCTTTAACCTTCTCCCTCTCTTCGTCACTCAATGTCTCCTTCTCCCTGTTTTTCTCCTGCTCTCTCTCTCTGTATTTCTTATTCTTTCTATCATCCTCTTTTTGTTAAAACTTTCAGGTCTTAAATTATAAAGGTTTTTTGCCAATAGACAGTCTGCAAATAAGTTTGTCTTCAACAAACGTTCTTTTTGTTTTTCTACTTGGTAGAATAAGAATACTTTTGCTACAATAGAGTTTTTGAAATTGTTCAATTGAATTTTATAGTTTAATAGCGATTTATTTTTCTCATGCTACATTTTTTCTTATGCTAGAAAAATTAATTTAAATACCACAATGTGAATCACTGTAGTTCCTGCCTTTTAATTGATTTCTCACACTTTTTTCCTTTCAAAGAGAGTTATACTCTACTTCTCCTCCTCCTACTTTTCTTCCTTCTCTTTCTCAGCTTTTACTTCTACTTTGTTTCTTTTTTTCTTTTTCATCTTATCGCAAATGTTATAGACTCGAATTTTCCATTACTATATTTCTACAGAATGTAGTTTCTTTTGTGTGTTGAGAAATAAAAATAAATTATTCTTACGTTCGTTTAACTATCATTTACAATATGTATAATGTCTATGCAATATAATTTAACTAATATTTAAAAAACAGTACATTTGTTTAAACATAATATAGTAAATATTATTGTTGTATACAGGTAACAAGCAGTTATTATAAAATCATTTTAAATTAAAGTTAAAATACTTGACGAGTATCGAACATTATCGAACATTATCGATATAGAATATCAAAACTTTTTTTTCGTACACAGGTAAGCTTAATTTACTTATTTTCGATGATTTTATATTTATTTAAACAATTTATGATATACGTGGAGTATAAATAAATGTTTTATATACTCATACATTATCTTTAACCCTTTTAGTGCCGCGCGACGATATATCGTCATGAAAATCACTTGCGAAAAGTGCCGACGACGATATATCGTTGCGTATGCGATGAGGTCCTTGTTTTCGCATTGCAAGACAGCTCTATCTCAAAATATATTTATAAAATGTTATTAGCGGTCTAATTTCATTGCAAAAGAATAAAAAAATATTTTTTTACTTTTACTTTTTCTTATAATTTATGCTGGTTGGTGCTGATGCTCTGTAGGCGCTTGAGCGATAAGATAGAAATTCTATACATATTCAACGATAATTTTTAGGGATTGTAATCGGATTCTTTTCAGGATTTTTATCAGACAATTCTAATGTTACTCCATGTATCGACACAGGGAGATAGAAATCTTTTTTTTAGTCTTTCTTGGTCTTGGAATAGAGTATTTCTTAGTAGTCCTTATTGGAAAACCGTACTTTTCGTTTCAATTACAATTAGTCGTCGAAAATTTTGTCAGTTTTGTTGCTACATTTTTACAAAAACTATACTCCTTACGCGGATATGGATGACGCAGAATTAGTTCGAATTATTGACGCGTTAGAAGTAAGTGATGAAGATGTTGACAGTGATGACCAATTATCGGTCTGACACTTGTCGTACATCATGTAGTTATCCTTTTGTTTTAAAGACTAATATTAGTTATTTTATTCAAAATTAATGAAAATGTAATACTTATAATTCATACTGCGTGACCTGAATGAAATTGATCAACCGAAAATTAGTGCAAATATTGTTTGAAGAAGAGAAACTTGTTTCTATACTTTTTATCCTATTTTATATTGATGTTATTATTATGATTTTAAATGAATATTAAAAACCAATTGACGTTATATTACTTTTAGAAAATATTAGACACTTGTATCGATTAATTAATAATTATTTTAATATTCTAATACACTCTTCTTATATTACATGTAAATTTAACCCTCAAAGTCATTACTACGTAGATGTGATAAAATAATTACATTAGAATGCAAAAAATACTAAAATTAGAACGTTATAATGTTAGATATTCTTTATTAGGAATATTATTACCATTGCACATGTTAGCATTGTACATGTGTGATAGTAATTTTTAATGTATTTTTTTTTTATTTATAAGTTCCATAGAACAACATATAATTGTATGATTTTTTAATTATTGTATTTTATTTTATGTAGATTAAAAATTATGTATATAAATGTATATAGATTGTATGTCTATAAATTGCAATTATTCTAGGATGTGTTAATTTTTAATAGAATCATCGATGTTACTTAAATTCTATTTAGGTTGCACTCATCGTTTATCATTTTGTTTTTTTTTGGTATTCAAACTTTTCTTTTTATTCTTGATAATAATTGTAAGGATTTTTTTGATTGTACTCTTATGGTGGGAACTAAGAGTTAGATTCTGTTCCTTTCAATTATATTCGGATGTGGACATCTTCAGAATGCACATCCCTCGTGGGTCTTCAGAAGCGGTTACCTCCTCGTGGTTAGACCCGGGCAATGGATATTACTTTCCGTGTAATGTTTATCATATTTTATATACTATACATTCCATGGCAAGTGAAATCCAGCTAAAGACCGCTTACCATAAACATTGTAAAGGTAATTAGTTTCTTTCATATTCCTAATTAGTATCATATTCAAATTCCTCTCACTGTTTTCCCTTAAATATTCTCTTCATATTATATTTCATGGAATAATACTCGATTTATTTTTTAGGAACTTTAATCATGTACATTCTTTCAGTCGTTTTTTGACGTGTAGTGCGGTCGGTAGTCACGTCTCGGTCGTGGTCGCGAATAAAAAACTTTTTTATAGTTTTTTATTTTTGTTATCGTTTTTTCATCGTCATCCTAAGGGTAGGAGACCCATTTTGCAATCATCACTGAAGACAAAAGGTAAATTAATTTTTATATCAAATACTTGTATAATAATTATAATAATTTTTAATTACAATAATGATATTAATAATGTTGTTTTACTTAATTATGTTTCAGCAACTCATTGCAATCGTGCGTGTAGGCAATGGAGTACTCGTATCTTGCATCGTCAAAAGAAATATTAAAAGATCGGACATTAAAGTCAGTGTTGTTCGCCGCAAGAGTTTCGTTTTTTCGGGTAAAGAAACTCGTAAGTTTCTTATATTCGTTTTAAACAGATAATCATCGCCATCTTAAGGGTAGGAGACCCATCCTGCATTCATCTCTAAAGATAGAAGGTAAATTAATTTTTGTATTAAACTTTTTTCCAATAATTTCGTATAATTTTGAAATGATAACAATGATTCTAATTGTTTTGTTTTTCTTTCTCTTTTCAGAAGAGTAAACAGTGTTAGTGTTTGATATTTGAACTGCGTGCAAAGCTGTTATAAAATTAATTATAGAGTCGGTGTTTGTTCAAATTTATAAAGTAAATTTTAATCGCGGAGTAGAGTCAGCGTCGTGATCGCGATAAGAAACTTTGAAGTTTCTTATTTTCGTAATTGTAATGTACGGAATTTTTGAATCGTTTAAAATAATATTAAAAATCGCGAATTAGAAGCACGTTCGTAAATTAATTTCAATCTCATCGTGTTTCGCAAAATATTTATAAAATTACTATTGTTAAATTAACTGCGAGCAAGATCGTAATTGCATTAGGGGGTTTGTTTTCGTATATCTTTATTTTAAAATAGTCGCACATACTGTTCGTAATAAGGTATTGCGTACTGCATACGTGCATACTGCGTAATAAAGCCAGTGCATCAGTGAAGATTAAAGAAGACTTAAAATTTACCGCGTTTCGGGATTAAAATAATGTGTGAAACTTTTGTATTTGCATTGACTGTGTGCAAAGCAGTCTTTAAAGTAGTTAATGTAGAATCAGTGATCAGGCGAGTAATAAGTTAAAATCAAACGCGAATTAGAGTCAGTGTTGTTAGTCGTATATACAAATTTCAGTTTCGCGATAAGAAACTCATTTATAGTTTCTTATATTCGCTTACCGCGTAATTAGAGTCATGCGAGTGCAAGGAAAAATGCATCAAGGAAAATCATCAAGGAATTCTCCGATGGGTCTGGACGAGTGATGCTGTCAATCTATTTGCTACGAAGTAGGAGTGTTTTGGAGCAATCGCAGAACTTCTAATGTAACTGTTCATGTTTCGCATATGCGTTATTTTAATTATAAAATGCCACATATATGTTACATAACGGTTGGTAAAACGAGTGAGTCAAAAAATTTAATGTCTCTCCAGTGCTCAATCATGTCAAGGATGAAAGGTCCTAA